TCTGAATACTTTCCGTACCCACTGTATATATATATATTATAGTATTGTGTTGTTAGATTAGCAGCATGCTAACTCTTTTGAAATCCATTGTGAGTTGAGTCTCATGAGGTTTCATGAGAGTTATGATGTTCCCTTAGTAGACAGTAGCCTGCAGGGCTGCTCACTAGGTTTTGAAACAGAGCCATAGTCTGATGTTTGCCAAATAGTTTTTCCATCTGCACATTATAGTTACTGTAAATAGCAGCCATAGTGGTTTGTCAGTAGATGGCGTTCTCAGGCAGCTCTTCATAAAACCGGGTTGGTGTGGGGTCATTAAAGGTCATGGTGGTCTGGACAGTGTGATTTATGATGCAACAGCAGGGTTTTTACGTGAGAAATCATCACGGATTTTACTTGTAAAGTCATTACTAGGCCATTGTTTTGAAACCCTTTGCCTGACCCTGTCTTAAGGTTCCAGCAAATCTGTTTTCTTAAACAATTCATTTGACTGTATCCTTCTGATCTGGTTAAGTCACATAGCTGGTTACCACTTACAAACATTAAAATGATGACAATGCATTTTGAAGTTAGATTGTAAAATGTTTCTTGTTGTTTTTGAGGATAGCGGTATCGTAAAAGTGCCTCGCTAATGAAAGGGATTCTGTCCGTGAGTATATAATATAGAAAAACAGCCTCTTGTGGAGTTTGTGGGTTATCTTCACAGCTGCTGCTTCTCAATGGGTCGCATGTCTGTCCTGATATGGGTATAGTGCTTTTAGAAATCCAGTTTGCTGTATTCCCATTTGATTTCAAACAGACCCGACTCTTTCCACACCCTCAAGACGCATCTTACCCATTATTAGTGCTCTGTGAGAGCTTTCTCAGCTGCCAAGAGAGGTTGTGATCTGGATTTATAAAGGGCCAGAAATGTCTTAAACACAAATATGCTGCCTTTTTAGCAGGAAACCATAAACACTGCATTGTTATGGCAACTTGTGTTGTTCTTTGTAACAGTGGAAACATGAGGCGATGGCTTGATGGTGGAAATGTTCACTCATTCAGAGAGAACACAACTGTGTGATTAAAATGACTCTAACTATACATGAAATAATTTGTTTTAAGTTTTTGCTGATCTGATGCATCATAAATTTTGGTTATTCATGCTCTAAAATACCTTTTGAACTCTGGAACAGTGTTATATTAGTATTATAATATAATGTAGTATTATAGTATTTATTAATGCGTTGTGTTTAATTTTTATATATTCCATTTACATTTTAAATTTAGTTATTTTTAGAAATTTTGTTGTGTGTTTTGTTAGACATACATAAACTATTTAGATTTGATTATTATTATTATTATTATTTTTAATTACAGTTTTTGTTTTGTTTTTCTTTTCAGTTTTGGATTTAGTAATTTTAGTACTTCAACTTAAACTAAATGAAAATTAGAAATGCTGACTTGGCAACTAATTGAAATAAAATATGTTTCATTTTTTATATTTATACAGTTTATTTTATTTTATTACATTTTATTAAATTTTACTGTATTTTAATGTAAACGTGTTTTAATAGTTTTAGTTAACGATAATACCAGCTAATGATAATTTACGATTTTATGGTATCATACATATGATATAAATAATATAAATAATATTTTTTTATATTTTTATTATATTATCACACATACTGATATTTGTAATTTGTGCAAACACAATTCAATGTTTTGAGTGGCAAACACTAATTATTACCACAAAGCATCTCATAATTTATCCATTGCTAATGTTTGTGGTACTGTTTTCTGGGGTTAAAGGGGTTTTACAAATAACTAACTGGAAAAAAATAATAATTAGTACAGGAAAAGCCTAAAAAATTATTCTATTAAAATTGATTAACTTTATTCTTGATAAACATCTTTTGTTTGAATCCTTTTGAATATATA